AGAAGAAAAACGGAAAAAAAAATCACTTTGAATTGTTAAAAGAAAAAAAAAAATTTTTTTAAAATTACCCTTTTGTTGAATACACGCATGAAAATTGTGCGTAAAGTCGTCAGTCGTCGTCCGATCCGATTTTCCCTACTTATAAATAAAATGAAAAGAAGAAAATGGGGGAAAAAAAGGATTCAATTTTGAGAGAAAGAAAGAAAAAAGGAAAGAAAAAAAAATTTTGAATTAAATGACCTGGAAAGAAATTAGCCTCCCCCCCTCTCTCTCTTCTCTCTCCCCTCCCCCACCTTCGGCAGGTCGAGGTCGACTAAAAAAAAAAAAATTTCGCGTTTTATTTGAATGTCATCGAATACGTCGAAAACAAAAAAAAAAAAATTGGAAAAAGGAATACTGGGGGAAGGGGCGAGACTTTTTATAAAAATATTTTTATTGTTTTTTTTTTTTTTTCTTTAGGTTCGAACGTGTAATTAGACAATGAAAATTACATTATGTTATTATTATTATTAGAAAAATTTTTTTATTGTTCCTATTCTTCGGAAAGTCGGAGGCGGCGGTTGTGAAGTTTAAATGATGAGAAATGAATTTATTTTGTTTTAACTTTTCGCTTTACTTTTTCTTGTATTCGGCCCTGTTAATACGTTGATTTCTCTCTCTGTCTCTCTCTCTTTCTCTCTCTCTCTCTCTCTCTCTCTCTCCGTCTCTCTCTCTTTCTCTCTCTCTCTCTCTCTCTCTCTCTCTCTCTATTTCTGTCACTCTTACTCTCTCTAGCTGTCTACCTCTTCTTTCCCTTTCATTCTTGTCTATGTTTCTTCCTTTCACGCTTTCTCTTTCTCTATCTCTTGGTCTGTAGCTCTCTCTTGCTGTTTCGTGGTCTCTCTTATTCTCCTTCTCTGCCTCTGTTACCCTTACATTTTTTTTTTCTCTCTCTCTCTCTCTCTTTCTATTTCTTAATTTGTTTCTCTTATTATCTTTACCTTCCTCAATCACTCATCGACACATCGTTTCCTTCTTTTTCTTCTCTTTTTAGTTTTTCTCACAAATTTATTTTACGCGTGCGTTTTTTACGGAAAAACTAATTATTATTATTATTATTTATTTATCACGTGCGTTTTTTCCTCTTCTTTCTTCTCTTCGACTCAAAAATAAAAAAATAAATAAATAAATTATTTAATACAATAATGAATTCGAATAAAAAAAAATAAATAAATAAATAATTACAATATTACAATTTGTTTTTGTTTTGCGTTTGTTTATTGTTTTGCTTTGTTTTTTTTTTATTTCAAATCGGTTGTTGTTTGTTGTTTTTCTTTTGTTTTTAAAAAAAAAAAAATTTTATAAATTCAAATGTTCAATTCCATTTTGACCTTTACTAACCCTTTTTCCTTCCTTTTTCCCGCCTTATTCTCACTCTCTCTCTTCAACATTTTTTTTCCCAACTTTTTTCCAATTTTTTTTCCTAACTTTTTCCGTCTGCAACTTATTTTGTATTCATGACAATGATTCTTTCTCCTTTTTTTTTTTTATTTGATTGATTTCACGATTTCGAATTTGTCTGTCAATGTTTTTTAAAAAATTTTTTTTTTTTTATTTGAGTAAAAAATTACTCAGAGTAGGAAATAACACAAGAATGAAAAGAATAAATTTTTTATTAAAAAAAAAATGAAGCAAATAAAAAAAATTTCGTTTTTAGAATAATTATAAGAAAATAAAAAAAAATAACGAATTTACGCGCGTTTTCTCCTTCTCCCCCTTCCCCTCCCTCCCTTTCCCTCTCCTCCCCCGTAAGTAACGCATTCGTATAAATAAAAAAATAAATAAATGGCGGAAAAAATAATGCAATATGAATAAAAAAAAAACGTTAATAATTTACCCGAAAAGACGACGATTCTCTCTCTTTCTCTTTCTTTATCTCTATCTCTTTCTGTTTTTTTTTTTTTTTTTAATACAGTTACAATTAAATTCTTTTGTGTTTTAAACATTGAGTATAATTTTCTACAGTAAAAATTCATTAACGAATATTCTTTGTGAAGTATAAGCCTGTAGGCTTCAATTAAAATTTCAATTTAAATATCTTTAGTTAGTCAGTCTTCTTTATAAATTTTTTTTTTAATAATAAAAGAACGTAGAAAATTATTATTATTTACAAAATTTTATGTAATAACAAATAATATTAAACATATGATTGAATAGAAAAGCAGACGACGACGATGACGATGACGTCGACTTAATAACGAGGATACTTTTTTCAATATGCGATGCCTTTAATATCGTTTCGGCCCTTTTTGTAGTTTTCCTACCCCAACACTTGCACCACCACCACCACCATCACCATCGCCACCGCCATCTTCGACCGTTTTTCTCTTGTTTTTCTTTTTCTTTTTTTTTTCTTAACCCTCGTCATGGAAGTCTTGTTAAATCTCATGAGAAAATAAACGTCATAAAACATTTATGTCCTCACGTCTCATAAGGAGATAAAAATAAGTTTTGGCGTGAAACGAGAAAATTTCATTTTTTTTCCTTCTTCTTCTTCTTCTTATTTTACTTCGTTTCAGATTTTATTTAACACATACACATACGTACATATATGTATATATGTATATAAAAGTGGCAGCAGATATTTGATTTTTTAAATAATAATAATAATGATGGAGTCGTAAATTATTATTTTATGTTAAATTTTTTCTTCAATAATAAAAAAATTTTTTTTTTTTAATATATTTTATCGCGGTAAAAATTAAAAAATTTTCAAAAAAAATCATAAAAAAAAGAAGAGAGAGAAAGAGAGAGAGGAGGGGGGAAGGGAAAAAATTTTCCCTTATTAAAATTTTTTTAAAAAAATGACGTGAAATCGGTCATCTGAAAAGTCGTAAAAAATTAAAAATCTAAACAAAAAATTAAATCGGGTAAAAAGTTTAAAAGGAAGGGAGAGAGAGAAAAAGGAACAGAAAAACAGTGAGAGAGAGCGAGAGAGGGAGAGAGAGAAAAAGGAACAGAAAAAAGTGAAGAGACAAGAGGGAAGAAGAATATAAAAAAAAGACAAAAAGGAATTTACAAAAACTAACAACAATTTAAAAAATGACAAGTGACGAATTTGCCACAATCAATCAAAATCGGAAACGATCGATCATTTAATATCCGGATATTGGAAAAACATGAATATTTAGAGTGAGAGAGAGAGAGAGAGAGGGGGGGGAGAGAGAGATGGCAAATGTATCCATTTGATTATCTCTCTTGTGGAGAGGATTAATTGAAAAATGGCTTAATCACGTTAATACGACAGCGTGCGTACGTCTGTTGTGCGGACAAATATTAAAAACCAGACGAAAAAAAAGGCGGGAAAAAAAATTTAAAAAGCCTGAAATGATAATAATAATAATAATAAACATACGGGGGTATTTATATTACGTTAAAAAATAAATAAAATAATTACTACGGGATGAGCACGAAAAAAGTTTTTCTTTTTTTGTAATAATGAATCGACAAATTTCCCTTTTTATTTTTTTTTCTCCGTCGATCAAAACGGGAAAAAGGGGGGAAAAATCGGGAAAAGGTAAAAAAAAATTATTTATTCGTTTAGTCAACAAAAATAATTTTTTTTTTATTAAACTAAAAAACAATTTAACAAAGTTTAATTGAATTTAATTTAGAAAAAAAAAATATCAACCGCAAAATCTGTCATACTCTTCTTGTTTTAACTTTTTAGTTTAGTTTTTTTTTAGTTTTTTAAACGGCTATTAGTTAGTTAGTTGGAAAACCCAAAATGTCAATGTTTTCATTTTTTTTATTATTTTCTTTTTCTTAAATAAAAGATTAAAAAGATTTTCTTGAAGTTAAGTCGATTAAAACACACAAACAGAAAAAATTTTTTTTTTTCAAATTTTTTTTTTTTGTTTATACATAAAATTTTTTTTATTTTTACAATTAAACAATTTAAACAAACAATAAAACAATAAAATTATAATAAATAATTATTTTTACTACGAGATAATAATAATAATAATAAATAATAATAATAATTTTTCAATCACAGACTCGTTTTTAAAATAACTTATAAAATTATTACATAAGCTAAAAATTAAAAAAAAAAAAAAAAAAAAAAAAACATTTTAAAATCTTTTAATCTAGAAAAACTTTTCTTTTTTAAATTAAGAGATCATTTCGTTATAATTATTATTATTATTATTATCGTTTAAGGTTTAATTTCCAAAAAAAACCTCCTAACGGATTTAGTTAGGAGGTAACGGATTTTTAGGAGAAAAAAAAAAGAAAAAAAAAAAAAACATTTTAACACCCAAAACATTTTATGTAACCGACACATTCACCTTTTTTTTTTATTTACTTATATAAATATGATGAATGTACGTCGTGTCAGTAACAAACAAAAAAAGGTTAAAACTCGTGATAATAAAAAAAAACCTTTCTTTCAATCAGATAATTAACCTTTTTTCCTTTCTATAACCTTTTGTCCTCTTCAAAATGTACATATATATACACACGAAAACATAAAAATGAATTAAATAAAAAAAATTTTTTTAAATCGGTTTCTCAAAAAACGACCTTTTTTTTGGAGGGCGTTAACCTCTCTCTCTCTCTCTAAAAATATATATATATATATATATATTAATGTTACAAAATGAGTTTTGCTTTATTATTCAAATAATAATAAGAATAATAATAATAATAATAATGTTAAGAATAATTCGAACGGTGATAATGAATGTGTTTTTATTTATTTATTTATTTTGTATGAAATCCTTAATGTAAATATAATCAGGTTGTTTTGGTTGTTTTGGTTGTTGTTTTTATGGAAATTTGATTGATGATGAATTAACAACGGGGGGGGGGGTAATTTTTTTTTTGATTGTGAGAATAAACAACATCGGGTCATGTTGGGCGTGTTCGAGCAATCAAAAACACATATAGAATTATCATTGTTTTATTTATCGAAAAAAATTTTCTTTTTTTGAATTTTTCCAGGTGATTATTCACTCGAAATGAATCCGATTATGTTAGAAGATGATGCTAAATATCAGTGTCAAGTAAGCACGGGTCACGAAGGTCAAAAAAGTATAAGGTCGAGGTATGCAACCGTAACGGTTCTCGTACCACCGGAAGCTCCAAAAATAATACAAGGAGAATCACTCGTCACGACAGAAGATAGAGAAATAGAATTAGAATGTATATCTATGGCTGGAAAACCTGCTGCTGAGGTACGAAAATTAATTTTAAAATTTATTGTTTTTCCTCTTTCTCTCCCTCATCCCCCCCCCCAAAAAAAAAAATTTTTACCCGCATTTTGGCTGCATTTAAAAAAAAAATTAAAAAACTTATTCGAAAGTGTAATAAAATAAAAAAACCGTCAAAAGATTCATAGTTCGTGATAAAAGACAGTATTTTCTTTTTTTTTTTTTTTTTACTTTTTAATTTTCCAAAACAAACAAACAAACAAATAAAAATTCATTAATTGAAAATTTGCGTTTTCAAATGGAAGGAAAAAAAAAAAAATTACATGCGCATGTTTCGTGTACGTTTTATTTTTTTTTTTTTTTTACTGTCACTCTCCGGTTTCATCAAAATGATAATAATAATAAATGAAAAAGAGTGAGAGGAAGTGAAAAGGGTCACGAGGAATTTCTAAAAAAAAAAAAGGAAAATAGAAACGAAATGAAAAAAAAATGGGGGAGGGAAGAGAAAATAAAATTCATGAGGCCTATTTTTAACCCTTTTGTGCCAAATGTTGGTCGAACCCTCGAATGTGTTTAAACGTCCATCGTTTGCGGTTCATTTTCTACAAACGTAAATAAATAAAAAAAAAACTTTTTTAATTTTAAATTTGTTGTTGTTGTTTGTTGGAACAAATAGTAATAAACTCTCTACAAAATGACCGCCGCCCCCGCCGCCGTTGTTGTCGTCGTGAAATTTTTGACACAAACAAACAAACAAACACGAAAATATTTATGCTAATATTAATTAAATTTGATTCGAATTTTATTTAATATTTCTCTTTCTACTCTCTCTCGTTATTGTTGTTAATGTTAAAAACATTTATTCATTATTATTATTATTATTATTATTATTGTTTTAGATAACATGGATTGACGGTCACGGTAATGTATTAACGGAAAATATCGATTACATTGTCGAACCGCTTTCCGACGGTAGAAGATTTACAGCGAAATCAGTTTTAAAATTAATGCCACGAAAGCATCATCATAATACAACATTTACATGCCAAGCTCAAAATGCAGCCGACAGAACTTATAGATCGGCTAAATTAAAACTTCAAGTTAAATACGCTCCAAAGGTAAGTTTCTCACCCCCCACACCCCTTCTCCCAATTCCTTTCCTTCGAACCCTTCCTTTGAATGATCGAAGTCGAAAATAAAAATTAAAAATAAAATAAAAAAATGAATTATTATTTAGGTCGACGTTAAAATTATATCCGGAATCGGACCGTCTGGAAGAATTCCAGAAGGAACGGACGTGATTTTACGTTGCCAAGCCGATGCGAATCCTTCCGAAATGACGTATAAATGGTACGTTAATAACGAATTGATTTCCGGTGAACCCACGACCGAATTGACCATAAAAAATGCCACGCGTAAACTTCACGACGCCATGGTCAAATGTAAAGTTCAAAATTCCGTTGGCGAATCGGAAGCTTTTGAAACATTAGAAGTCAGCTGTAAGTATGGTTTCCAAAAAATTCATCGATAATAATAATGATAATGATTACGATGATGATGATGATTATAAATTTTTATCTTTAAGACGGACCGAGATTTCGTTCGAAACCGAAAATAATTCAAGCTGATCTCGGTGCAACTGTGACATTAACGTGTGACGTAGACGGAAATCCACCACCGGATATAGTATGGATTCATAAAAATTCAGAAAAAGTAAGTTTCCTTTTTAAAGACTTTTTAAAAAAGTTTTCACGGGACATTACAAAAACAATTGGGTTACAGGTCGTGGGAACGTCAGCTAATTTAACAATGACAGTTGATGGTAATTCCGGTGGAACTTATCATTGTAAAGCATCGATAATGGGATTTCCGGAAATAGGAGCAGAAGGTGCGATTTACATAAAAGGCCGTCCAACAATAATAAGTCACAACACACAATTTGGAGTCATAGGTGATAACGTCAGGCTGGAATGTGTAGTTTTTTCAATACCACGTCCGACACACATATCTTGGACATTTGAAGGATCCGATATCGATTCTTCTAACGAGGTTTGTTTCTACATCATACAATCCACCGAAAATTTTTTTTTAACATAAAACCGGAAACAGAAGGGATTTATAAAAGAAAGTTATGAAAATTTAATTTTTCCCCCCTTTTTTTTAAATCAAGGAAATTCATTTCAAAAAAAAAAAAAAATTCAATGTCAAAAAAATGTTCTTTAAAATCAAATTATCTGTCTTTTTTTTTGGAGAGTCTGCCATCTTAAGAAAAAAAAATTTTTTTATAAATTTTTTATTAGATTGGTGACACTTTTAACATTATTCTAAGCTTTATAAAAATTTATCTCTCTCTCTCTTTCTCTCTCTCCGAGTGATTTCTATGTCAAAAATCTTTTTCCCTCTCTATCTCTCTCTTCTCTCATCCATCGAGATTCCACTTTTCATATTTCCATCTCGTAATTTTAATGTATTACGTATGGAAAGGTCATAAGGTTATTATCACAGAATGTTGTAATGGTAGTGGTAGTGGTGGTGGTGGTGGTGATGGTGATGGAAAGAAGAAAACAATTGGATATTATTCTCATTTTCAACTTTATCGTTTTGATTTATTTACGACGCCATTTTACGCGTCAAATTGAATTTAATATTTATTATCGATCGATCCTTTTTTTTTCTATCATTATTATCATTATTTTTTTTTTTTTAGGGATATTCTATTTTGGAAGATCCATTACCGAATGGTATAAAAAGTATTTTATTAATTCATGAGTCTGAATCGAAACATTTCGGCGCTTATAATTGTTCTGTTGTTAATTCGTACGGAATGGATTCCGCTGAAATCATATTAAAAGCCCAAAGTAATAAAAATAATAATAATTTAAATTGGATTTTTTAAATTTTTAAAAAAGTGAAATTTTAATTGTTTTTTATTTTATTTATTTTTTTGTAGAAAATTTTCCACTCCCGATTATTTTAATGGGAGTCATAGTATTAGTTATCGTTATCGTTGCCGTTGCTCTGATAATAATCCTCTGTCAGAGAAATGCTAAAAAATCCCCGATCCCGGTCGATTGTAACGGTGGGGAAAAAACATGTAAAGAATCCGATCGGTCTTCCAATATATCCGATCTTAAATTAGAATTAAGAACTGGATCAAGCGTATCAAACGTTCATTGCGAACTTGAATACGGTCCTGATTCTGAAACTGGAAGCGAAAGCGTAGTTACAAGAATCGGTAAATAATAATTAAATAATAAATAAATTATCAACTTTATTTACATAATAATAATGATGATGTTTTTTTTTTCCTTGTTGTTTATTTTTAGGTGTGCCATTAGCGGGTCCAGTTTCGTTAGGAACTTTAGGGTCATTGTCACATACAAGCACACTCCAGCACACTGGAGGTTTACCACAAATAAATGGCGGTGATCGTCTTAATAGGTATTCATCTGAATTTTCAGATCCAGTCTTCCCTCTTAAGGTAATTAAATTTTTTGTTTGTTTTGTTTTTGTCGTCATTCGCCAAAACTTATCGTGATTCGTGAATTTTTTTAGGATGGTCAAAATAATGGATACGTACCTTATGTTGATTATTCGAGAGATTACACTCCACCTTCTGTTGAAAATGGTAGAGATAATTTACCAACGGCCAATGGCCCACACAGTTTAAGATTATCTTCCGTGCCTACAACTGGGGTCGATCCCAGATATTCGGCTGCTTACGGTACTATATCTTTAATATCCTCGGGAGTCGAGGTTTATTTACCCTTCCCCCCACGTAAATATTCACGCGAGTTTCTCATACTATTTCAGGTAATCCTTACCTTCGTAGTTCGAATACTTCCTTGCCGCCTCCACATGCGACAACTGGATTAAATAATCCAGCGCCACCGCCTTATAGTGCAACACGGCAAAATGGAGCAGTTCCTCAATTGGCGAGGTTACCATCTTCGCCGACATCTCAATATATAGTGCCCGCTAGAGAACAAATAACAATTAAAAGAGGGACGTTGGCAACGCATGTATAACACGAAAGGACAACCATTTTGTAAACGTGTACAAAATAAATAATATATAAAAAAATATCGTTCGTGTAAATATTTATATATATATATATATTTTTTTGTTCTTACGAAAATTATATAAAAAAAAGGAAAAAGTGTTCGCGACGCCTAAATAATATAAAAAACTTTATTAATAAAAATCGGAAGAAATTTTAAAATTGTCGCCGTGCCATTAAAAAAAATAAAAGTTACATACACGTCTTACATACATCGAAATAAATAAATAAATAATAATAATTGAATTCTTCTATTTATCTGTGCCATTAGTTTATAAATTTTTATTAATAGTTATTTATTTAATGAGTTATGAAAAAAAAAAAAATTAATTTAAAATAAATAATTATTAATAATTTTTATTTACGTGGCCAAAATAAATTAATAAAAGTTAATAATAATTTGGCATTAATAAATAAATAAGGAACTCTCTTTATTTTAAAAATTAATTAATTATTATTATTCATAAAAAATTGTGATATTTTTTTAATATGCGGGACTTAATAAATAAATTATTTTTTATTAAAAAAAAAATAAAAAGAAAAAAATTTTAATAAATAAATAAATAAATAACTTTTAGCGGATTTTATATGTAAGAAAACCATCTGCATTCTTCGATTTTTTAATTGTTACCAATTTTATTATAATAATAATTTTTTTTTTATTACTTTTTACATTACTGTAATTTTTTATTTTTTAATAAGTGATTGACTTTTCCATTTTTTTTTGTGTTATCAATTATTAATTAATAAATTTTTATTTATTAATATTAAAAGTATTCAAACGGCTGTGTTACCCTGTAACTCCTAAATAAAATTTTTTTCATTTTTTTTTTATTTATTAAAACATGGCAAAAAATACTTAATTTATGTTTAAAAAATTGGAAAAGTCAACGTATGAATGAATGATTGAATGAATGAATGAATGAGTGAATGAATGAAAAAATAAATTTTTTTTTTCGAACGAGGAAGAAGAGAGAGAGAGAGTCATAGATACGGGAAACATGGATCAAAATTATTATTATCGTTAATTTTTTTTTTCATTCCCGTTTTTATATTTATTTGACTGGAAATGACGTCATTTAATTTTTTTTTGATTATCATTTCCCTAAAAAATATTTTTAATACTTAAATAAATTTTTTGTAATTTTTTTAGAAACTCTCTCTCCCTCCCTTCCCCTTTCGGAAAATTTAAAAAAAAAAAGAAAATTTATTTTTCATTAATTTTATTATTACTATTATTATTATTTAATAATTTATGTATTTTAATTTAATTTATGTATTTTTATTATTTTTCAAAACATTCTCTATATCTTTAAAAATTCATTATTATTATTATTATTATTATTAGTTGATGATTATTTGAAAACTTATTAATTAATAAGTCATTGTCAATTTGTTACAACAATTTGTTTATATTTTCCCTATTTTTTTATTTAGCTGTTTATAGTTAAGCTAGTTAGTTAGATTTTATTATTTTTTTTCTTTTTAAAAACAAATTAAAAAATAAAAAAGAATGAAATGAAAACAAAAACAAACAAAACAAACAAAATAATAAAAAAAACTGTCACATATCTAACCTTGAATAAAAAAAAAAAATTTTTTTAATTAAAAAATTAAAATTAATACGTCCTTAGGTATCAATTTTTCTCGGGCTCAATTATGTATTATTACTATTTTTATTATTATTATTATCATTATTATTACTATTATTACTATTACCATTATAATCACTCTTATTATTATTATTATTAATTACAAATCGCTGAGTGGGAACTCTAACAACAGGAAAAAAAAAATTTAATTATTAAACGAATTAATGATAATAAAAAAAAAAAACAATAATTATTAACGAACCAACAATAACAACAGACAGGAAAAAATAAAAAATTAATAAGTCAATAAATTAAATAATAATAATAATAATAATAAAGACTGAATTCGTTTAATGAAAATTTAAAAAAAAAAAAAAATTTTTTTTTTATTAATTGGCAATATCGTAAGAAAAATAAATAAAAAAATTTTATTAATTATTAAAATATTTTTTATTTATTAAAATTTAATAAGTACATAAAAATCAACACCCACTCTCTCTCTCTCTCTCACTCTCATTTGTAAAATTAATAATAATAATAATAGTGATAATAGTAATATCGTTATTTTTGATTATGATTAAATAAAATAAAATAAAAAAAAAAGAAAAGAAAAAAATTTGTAACATGACGATTTTGTTTTATAATGTAAAATATCCAATTAAAAAAAAAATTTTTTATTATCCCCCCTCCCCTTCCTCCCCTTATTATTATTATTATTATTATTATTATTACACTTATGTAAAATTATTATTGTAAAATTTGTATTATTATTAATTAATTAATTAATTATAATTTTGTTATTTGTTTTTATTATTATAATTACGGTCACTCTTAAACACGACAAGGCTCTTATTTGTCAAGATATTTGAGCATTTATCCCAGGTTTCTACCCGATTCCTTAGGGACAAATACTCGAATTTCGGTGGTGCTATTTTTAATATTTTCCGAAGAATGTGGGCCGTCCCACATAGTGCGATTTCCTGGATGGTTTCTTCCTTTAGGTTCTTTAAAATCTTCTTTAAATTTCCTTTCATTGAATGTGGCATGGCTCCCAATACTCCTACGATGACCGGAATCGTTTCTGTTTTTGTTCCCCACATCCTGGCTATTTCAATTTCCAAATTTCTATATTTCAGCCTTTTGTCTGCTTCTTTGGCTGCCTGGTGTTTCTTTCTGCCCGGCACGGATACCTCAATTAACTTACACATTTTCGCATATGCCTGAGGATGATACCCGGTTTGTTGGCTGGCACAGTTCTGTCAGTGTAGATTTGTTGATCATACAGAACTGTGCATGGACCTACTGTCGTAACCGGGCTTGGAATGTGGTTGTACCACTCCTTGGGTAATCCATCCATTCCATATTCTCAGCATATACTCCAATGGAGATATTGACATAATTTCTTCTGAGATTGAGCTTTGCTATCATAAGTTGCAAGTTGCCCTTCTTCCATTATCTCGTTTTCTTTATTTTCTTGGACGATTTGTTTTGCCCTTTTCAGTACTCCTTTCTTTGTAATTTTTTCTTCCGTATGTATAACTTGGACTAAGATAGGGTCCTCTTGATGGGATTCTATGTGTTTTCCCATTCCAATTATGGCATTCTGGTATGCCGCTTATTATTATTATTATTATTATTATTTTATTATACGACAATTCATCCTGATGTTTGTCGGAGCCTTTTCAACATATATTCCAGGTTTCTACCCTTCTACCTTTTTTTAGTAAAAAAAATTTGATCTTATGTATTAGGAAAACATAAGTCCAAGGAGGTATAAAGTAAAATAAAATAAAAAATGAATAAAAATAAAATAAAATGCAACATTGGGTTCCCGCGAAAATAAAATGTCACATTTAAAATTAAATGTGTACAAGGTCGTCCTACTTAGCGTAAACAGTAAACAAGGTCGACCTTGGTTGAAAAATCGTGACCATGAAAATTTTCACAAAATTGAAATGTAAAACTAATGGCCTTGGAATCAAGGTCGACCTACTTTAGAATAAATCGTAAACGTTGGATTTTCGCGCTCACGGTCATTTTTAACTTAAAACATCGAAAATTTTTTTCCGATGTATCCGTAAAACATAAGATCCAAGGAGGTATAAAGTAAAATAAAATGCAACATTCGCAATATAATGCAAAATATCGCAAAATTTGTTTTTTTATGTGTCAGGGAAATATAAAAAAATGGATGTGTACTGAGTACACTTAAAATCAGGTATGGAGATTTTATATTCACTCGATACAATAAATAAATTAGTTACATGTATTTTTAATATTTTTATTGGCAAAATATATTATAATGTAACAGGTTAACAAAAGAAAATGGAGGAGTAAAATAATATACAATCAATAGATTCACATTTAAAACAGGAGTATAAAGATTTTATATCCACAAAATACTATAAGTAAATTAGTTCCAAGTATATTATTGAATTAACTCTATTCTTTCTTCAGTATGACAAGATATTTAGCTCAACTTCTACTTATAATCAGCTCAGGAGATGTAACAATTATTAAATGAAGTCTGTTGTTCCTTTTCATAATTCCCTTCGCTAAAATCAATTATTATGTGGGTTACCAATTCCTCCTGACTTGATTCAGATTAAGACCTAAAACAATCAAAAATCAGAAAATTAACCCTTAAAAAAAATTGATAGATTTAAAGTATGGAAATTTGATCAATACTTAAATCAATAATTAATAAATAATTTTATTAAATTACTCCAACTCTTGTTTTTTATTATTATAAAATCAGTTCTGTCATGAATGTGGTATGGCTCCCAATGCTCCCACGATGACCGGAATCGTTTCTGTTTTTGTTCCCCACATCCTGGTTATTTCAATTTCCAAATTTCTACATTTCAGCCTTTTGTCTGCTTCTTTGGCTGCCTGGTGTTTCTTTCTGCCGGCACGGATACCTCAATTAACTTACACCATTTTTTCGCATTATGCCTGATGCTTATATCTTCTTATTCTCTGAGAATAGAGCAACACCTTTTGTTTTAAAGTTTCCATGGTGAGTTCTATATCTTCCTTGGTCTTCAATTTATATGTCCTTTTAAGTGATCCAGTTTCTTTATTGTCTTTTATTATTATTATTATTATTATTATCCGAAAATAAAAATAAATAAGCAATTTTATTATTATGACTGCTACGTATTTATTTATTTTTTCCTTTTTTTTTTTAAATAAAATTACATTTAATAGAATTCGCTTTAATAACTTATTAAATTAATCCGAAAAAAAATTTAAATCTTTCGGATTAATAACAGAGCAAGAGAGAGAGAGAGACAGAGACAGAGACAGAGAAATAAAATTTTTTTTTTTTTTTTTTTACAAAAATTACAAAATATAAAATCGATAAAATTTTAAATTGTTATATTTAATAAAAAAAAAAATAAAAAAAACTATTGAAATAATTTAATAATAATACTAATAATAATAATAAATGATTAAATTTTCACAATAAAAAGGAACTTATGTAAAAACAAAAAAAGCATTCTCAATAACAAATACATTAATAATAACTTATACAAATAACAATAAAACAAATTTGTATATTTTAAAAAAAAAAAAAAAATTTAAAAAAAATTTATTATTATTATTATTACGATATTTCGTACCCCTCCCCACTCCTCTTTTTCGTCGTCGTCATCATCATCATCATCGAATCGGTCGAAAACATTTAAAATCATTAAGTCTTATTAAACAAAAATAAAATAAAATAAAAATAATAATATCTTAAAAAATAGAAAAAAAAAAAAAAAAAAAAAAAAAACCTTTTTTTAAAAAAAATTTTTTGAGCAAAAATACTTTTATAAAAAAAAAAAGAAAAAAAAATAAAAAAAAAAAAATTTTAGGCAAGAAAAAAACGTATGGACGGTATTTATATATATATTATTCACTGGAAACGATGTACCTTTTCTTTTTTCTTCACATTTTTTTTTTTTTTTTTTTTTTTTTTATAATTTGTTCAGTACTGTACGTAAAAAAAAAAAAAATAATAATAATAATAATAATTATCCGGGGGGGGAAATGCATAATCAAGTTGTTTTCGATTTAGGAATGTATATTCTATCAATTAACGCCCGTGTAATACTTCCTGGAATTCTTTGATGTTCAGCTATCAATGCATTTAAAGACTCCGCAACCTGCGTCATCAATACCGACGTCACAAAATTTTAATTAATTAATTAATTAATTATTATTATTATTATTTTTAATTAATACCTTACCTTCATTCTGAGTTGATCGGGTGTCGCCAAGTCGGGCCAAATGGGTTTTCCAATGTATGTCCTTAATTTAACAGGGAAACCCCCTAATATCGGAGCCAGAGGATACCTGGTCCATGAATAAAGTTTTAACCAAAATTTTCTACCTATCGTAACGCTAACAAATGCTTCTCTTATATTTTGCGTAAACATCGGAATAATCGGCTGGAAAATACATAAAAATAAATAAATAAATTTTTATATTTTTCTTTCTTTTTTTTTTTATAATAAAAAAAATTTTCTTTTCTTTTGTTTACCTTTTTAGCTTCAATAGCTGCTTTGGCAAATCCCAAACGATTTTTCCACATTAAATGATAATAAGAATCACCAAATTGAGCTTCGTAAACTCCACCCGGAGCAATAGCTAATATATTATCACCTTTTAATATTGTTGAACATTCTTGTACAGTTCCAGGTATAACTTTTAAATTTTCTGCTATCACTGAAAAACCTGTTTTTTTTTTTCCCAAAATAAAAAAAAAACATCATTAATTATTATAATTTTATTTTTATAATAAAAATTTTTTAAACTTGAGGTAAAAAAAAAAAAAATTGTTAATTAGAGATCAGGGACAGATTGAAATCAAAAAACCAAAAATTTTAATTAATTAATTAATTACATTATTTAAAGTTTAAAGGTTACATAAAATTTAATTTTCACATTTTTGTTTTTTTTTTGGTGTTTTGTGGTATTTATTTTGTTCTTGTCAAACAAATAAACTTTTTTTTTTTTAAATTTATTTTAACTATTGGTGTTAAAACTACTAAAAATATTTTTTATATACTGAGAAGAATAAAAATAACTGTAGTAATTTTATTATAAAAAAGGAAAAAAAAGATTTAGATTTCTTAAACTAGTTTTCATTAACAATAAATATAATTTTTTATGAGGAAAGTTAATTTTTTTTTTTTTTAGAGTGTATCGTAACTATTAAAAAAAATATATTTCTCTTCTCGTCACTTATATTAATAATAATAATAATAAGATGACATGCAAAAATTAAAGTTATTAATAATAATTTTTTTCACACTCATTTCAATACAGTTAAAAAAAAAAAAAAAAAAAAATTATTAAAATGTACTTCGGATTGTTTATTTGTATAAAAGTTCAATGTCGTTTTATTAACGACAAAAAAAAAAAAATTTTTTTTTTTTTAAATTATGTTAATTGACAAATGAAAAAATTCTTTATTAAATTTTTTTCTTTTTTATAAATTTTAATAAATAATTTTTTTGTGTGTTATTTATTAAATAAATTAAATTTCATCAATTATTTATCATTTACTCATGATTCTCATGAAATTATTGATTATCGGTCAAATGGCGAGAATTTTTCTATCGTAGTTTTGAAATATAATCAATAAAAAATCAATGACGATTTCAAACGACAATGAAACAAAATAATAAAAAAAATTTTATACAAATATCATATTATAATAATTAAAAATAAAATTACCTGGAACTTTAAATAAAAATTTATCAGCAACTGTATACACTAATCTGTTTTTGTTTAAAAAAACATAAGACATAAAATAATAAAGGTCAATAGGTATGGCACCATGATAATAAACTACCAAAGCTCCACCTTTATCAGGTAGATTTTCCAATCCTACCACCTCATAACCTAAAAAAAAAAAAAATATGTTATTAATGTCTATCACTAAATGAAAAATCCAAATAATAACTGTTTGAAAATGAAATGTAATGAATGACAGATAAATAAATAATTTTTTATATAAAAATAATGAATGATTTAATTTTGTAAAATTTCAAATGGAATTTAAAATATTGAATAAAAAAAAAAAAAAAAGAAAAAAAAACTATTTTACCATGCCACAATCTTGCATGAGCATGCCAAATGGCAGCAACAGTTTTAAGTGCCCCATTTTGAAAACCATTTTCATATGCATGAACAATATTTCCCCAATGTAATTTATAAACTTGCAGAATAAGAGCATCTAAATATAAAATAACTACTATAGTGAAAGGTAAGAGCAAAGTTATTAAAAGAGGCGTTAAAGCCCATAATAAATAATTTTCCCGCTCTATTTTATCTACCAATAAACCTGTAACAAATCATTAAAAATAAACGTAAATAAAAATTTTTTGATCAAAAAAAAAAAAAATTATTAAATATAAATGAAAAATAAAAAATTTCATGTTATTAAATTAAATTTATAAAACTATTTTTTTTTTTTTAACTGATAAAATATTAATGTTTAATTTTTTTTTTTTTTTTTTAAATATTATAAAATACTCACTAAAAAAATCCACAAAAAAATTAAGTGTATAATTTTTGTACAACGTAAACATGTTTAAAGCTTTACACACCGAAATTTATATTTTATAAAAAAAAAAAAATAAAAATTATATTTTTAAATATACTAAATCATCACAGATTTTTTTAATATGAACTTTCTATAAAAAAACTTTCATCACTCTTCTTCATGACCACTTATTACCCATTTGAAAACATTAAATCCGTCATTGTAAAGTGGGAGCAGAGAAATTCGTTTTGTTGCCTTTTAAAGTAAATGAGAAAATTTAAATTTTATTTCCCGCTTTATTTACTCACTATTTGAAAACAAATAATTTTAAAAAAAAATTTTTGAAAATCAAAAAATTATAATTTAAAAAAAAAATAATAATTAAGTCAAAAATTTTTATTATTATTTATTAAAAACAATGCATAAAATAAAACAGACAAAAATTAAATAACAAATAAAATTGTGATATAAGTAATAATACTAATCAAAATTATTAATATTGAGATTTTGAAACTCATTCAAAATAAAAAATGTTCTTTAACACGATTTATAATTAAAATAAGGCATGAAATAAAAAATTGATTTACATTATTTTGCCTTTTTTTTAAATTTTAAAAAAATAAAAATTTCGATTTAACAAAATGTACAAAGTCTATACAAAAAAGGAAATTGTAATCCTTAACTTATTGTAGTTAAACAAATACATTAAAATTTCAATAAAATAATAATAATATCATTTAACAAAATCAACTATGGCAACTTTAATAATTTTCATTTGATATTGGAAAATTTTTATATCCTACGATAAATGAAACTGTAAATTTTTTTTTTTTAAATTTAAACTACAATTTTGAACACTAATAAAACACAAAAATATTCTTCAAAAATTTGTCTATTATTTTTATCTGACCATAATAATAATTATTAAAATTAATCTTTAAATAAAATAAAATAAGTTAATTAATAATTATAATAATTTTTTTAATTATAATTTGTTGCAGTTTCAAAAAAAAGAAAAAATTATACATAATTTTTCTAATACTTTCCTAGTCAATAAATAAAAATAAAACTACTTGAATTTAATAATATTAAAATTTAAATAAATTTTACATTTTTTTTTTACAATACAGTAAGATACTCTTTTAAAACAGTAATAACAAAAATATTTTTTTTAATCTTTATTTTGTTGAATCGTTTCAAAATAAATTACTTAACTAAAAAAAAAATATCGACTATACTTTATTCATATGATAATAAAATAAAATAAAATAAAATGCATTTTTTAAAAAACTGAAATTACTCTCTAGAAATTTACTTGGGTACATTTTACTGGTTCTTACTTTCTGTATCATTATCATTATCCTGATTTTGTAATTCTTGAAATTGATTTCTCGTTTGCCTGTAACTTTCTAAAAGTTGAATGAGCTGAGCACGAATGTTATCATTTTTTTGATCTAATTGATCTAAAGCATTATTTAACTGATCCAATTCATCATTAATTGCATCTAATTCTAGAAAAAAAATTATACAAAGGTAATATAAGTTTCTTTTAAGTTTTTTTTGTTTTTTTTTTTTTTCAACATTTAATAATTACCCTCATCATCAACTTCCTCTTCATTTTGTCCACTTGCTGATGAATTATTCCACAAATCATTAACACTTGGATTTTTTTTATTCTTCATTTTTGAATCACAATTAAATTCCATTTGTCAACATCCTACTGTCAGGTGATTTTAAACCCAATAATTTCAAGGGTATTTATTTGCTACAGTTATGTATCATTAAATTGTAGCAAAGTGAGGCCCCCCGAATACTTTTAATAAGGCTGTGACTTTTAAATTTACAAATTAAATAAGATTATTCCGGTATTCATTGTATTATGTGAAGAATGTAATTCAATGGCTTTGATTTTTATTTTGAAAAAAACATTTTTTTAAAAAAAATAATTCCTTTATAATTACTGAATAATCAAGTTTACATTAATTTTATTAGTAAAATAAATAATTTAGTTTAATTAAAAAACACGTGTTAAGAATCTGTTTTGAAGTAACGTATTTGTTTTTTTTTTTTTTAAATCTTATTAGCTCAAAGAAAAAATTTTACGATAAATGTACAAATTGTATGACCTTATAATTACAGATATTCGATTTTAAAAATCAACTTTATACCTTTATAATTTAATTTAATGATATTAAAATGGAAATAGTTGAAGGAAAACCAAATGATAAAAAAATAATTGTTGCTCAAGAAATAGCATTTGCCAAAGTATTGGCTGGTAATAATAAAGTATTAAGAGATAGAGCTCTTAAAAAATTAAAAAAATGGTTGACCGTTAGAGGAACTGGAAAATGGGGCAAGTTATCTTGTTATTATTATTATTTTTTTTTGTTCCACATAATCAAATAAATTTACGTTATTGTTTAAATTTTTTAGTATTTTCTGAAGAAGAATTCATTAGGATTTGGACAGGATTGTTTTATTGTATGTGGATGTCGGACAAGTTTTTAGTTCAGGTTCGATTTCTCTTAAATATCATAAAAAATCTCTCGACATCTTTATTTATAGTTTTATTAAAATCAATTGTTTTTGCAGGAAGAGCTGGCTGAAAATATAAGTCAACTAATTCATTGCTTTAAAAAAAATAGTGACAGTGCATTATTATTTATAAAATGTTTTAACAAACGAATACTTATGGAGTATGAAGGTTTAGATCAGTATAGAATTGATAAATTCAATATGGTATAATTTTTTTTTATTTTTTTATTAAAACTCCTCAACTGTTTTAGAACTAATCAATTTTTTATTATTTCATTTTTTATTTCAGTTAATTAGAAGGTTCCTTAGACAAACCTTTGTTTATTGTAAAAATATGTTTTGGAATGATCATTTTTTAAAATCTTTGATAAATATATACAACACAACCATTTTTGACAAAAATTCTACCTTAGGATTTGTTTTACACTTTATCAATATATATCCAGAAGAAATAGCCAAGGTATGAATTAAAATATGAAATTTTTCAAATTATATTTTACAAAAATGAATTGATTTATTATTATTATTATTTTCTTTTTTTATTAAGGTTAGTCAAGGAAAATTAGATAGTAAAAAACTTTTATTGTTAATCGAACCAATTGTAAAACTTCTTGCAAATTCAAAAGATTCAAGAGTACAAAAAGGAGCCATGGAATTTTTTTATTATTTAATGAAACAAACCGATGTTGGTATTGAATTCGAAGAAAGGTTTCATGCTTGGAGACAGGTATAATTATTATTATATCCATATGCATCTGCATAAAAATTTTTATCTCAATTAAATTGAGCACAATATAAAAATAAATTATAATTTACGAAATTAAAAAAAAAAAAGAAAAAAAAATTAATTCAGAAATGAAATTTTTTAGAATTATTTCTGAATATGAGCTGAATATTTGTACCTGTCCAGATGAATTTTAATATGGTTATAATCTAAGCTGTGTGACACAGAGTCGTAAATAACATTTTTTTAGATGGGGTTTCCCGGTAGTAGCATCAATTCTATTAAAAAGCAAACAATGGCCAATGGTAAGGGTAAAGATGTCGAAAGCGATGATTCCGAAGGAGACGAAGATGATGAAAATTTTTATGACAGGCCTTTGGATCCTCGTGCCGGAAGCGTACACGTGGATTTGCCACAAATTCCCATCGACTTGGGTGGTTTGATCAATTTGTTGAGAAAATACGAACGCGGAAAATTCACGCCGACTACGAGCAAACGAAAAATTCGCGTTTTAATTCAAAAGTATGGTGGAATACTTGCATTCCATTTGTTAGCTCTGTTATTGGAATTCCACAAATTGAAAATGGTAATTTTTTTTTTTAGGTTTTCTGTATTGAAAAAAGGCAAATACCCGACTAAAATTAAAAAGGATCCGATAATAGACGAAAAGAAAATACCGAGGCAAACATTGAAAACTGCCAGACAATTGTTGGAATTTACAGAAAATTTAGATGAAAAACCGATAAAGTCTAAAGAATTTGCATCGATAAGCAAACAGTTAAAGGAAGAAGAAAATGGTGACGTAGATGAAATTTCCGAAGACGAGGACGACGGTGATGAGGACAGCGAGACAGAATTAAAAGACGAAAATGATTTAGAAATGAATGATGTGGATGTTGAAAGCGAAGATGATGTTGATGAATTAGAAGGTGAGGAAGTTGAAAACGAAGAAAAAATTAGTAATAAAATCGAAGTAAAAAAAACGAAAAAAAATAAAAATAAAGTAAAGAAAGTGTTGAAGAGTTCAACGGTCGAGTCGATCGGTGAAAAAACCAAAAAAAAAAAGAAATTAAAAAAGAAAAAAAACAATAAAAATAAGGCGAAAAATGATGTTGATGAGTGCACAAAAGAAAAAAGTGAAGTACCATCGCCGAAAAAGGCCAAGTCCCATCAAGAGGATGAAATTGTTGTATCGCCCTTGAATAAAAACAAATCACCAAAAAAAAGTGATAAAGAAATTATTTTACCGAACGGTGACGTCACCAACACCGAAGAGAAGTCATCTCCGAATCCGTCTTCTCCTAAAAAGAAAAATTCAAATAAAAAAAACGAATTAGCGAACGGAGTTGACAAATCACCATCGTCACCTCTTTCATCTTCTCCAAATAAAAAATTGAAAAACGTGGAAGATAAAAATGAAAACGTGGAAAAACCCGAAGGAAACAATAAAAAATGTTCTCCACAGAGAAAAAATGGAATCAAAAGGAAAATTCTAGGAGATTGGATGGTGCAAAAAATAGATGAAAACAGTTCGGAATTTGACAAGTTAAAACCTCAAAAAGTAATTAAATTAGAAGTTAAATTAAATTCTCCCTCGAATCCGGAGGAAAATGTAAATTCGGAAAAGGAAGAAAATGTTTTGGATAATGAAAGTCGCGAATGCGAAATTGAAATACAACCGAAACGAGTATTCACACCGAGTTTTTGGCAAAAAGACACCGCCAAGGTATTCAATAAGAAAAATTCGAAAAAAGCAAATATTTTTAAGGTAAATTGAGTTTTCCCCGGAAAATTCCATTTGTATTTT